TAGTATTATTCTTTTAAATAAAAAAATAAAAATAAACATTAAAAATAAAGTTTATACATACCGTCGAAAACTGTCTCCGCCATTCTTTTCGCCGAGAACTGTATGTGTTAATACAAATTTATTTTGAACTTTAAATATATATAATCTATGCTATTTTCTAAAATAAGAATAATAATTTATTTAATCTTATTTAGTTTGACTATATATATTAATATTTTTATATTAAACTGCAAACTTTTATTTAAATAATTAAATGAGAAATTTAAGAAAATTAAAAAGATATTCAGTAAGAAGATGTTTAAGAAAATTTATGACTAAGAAATTTAACTTTAGAAAATAAATTATCATTTTTTTAAATTAAATTGCTAATTTTTTTTTTAAATTTGAAAAAGAAACTAATTAAACTTTTTTTTCTTTATTTTAGAAAAAGAATAGAAATTAAGAATTTCAAGAAGATTACTAAAGCTTAATGAAGGTTTTTAATTTATCTATCAAAAAAATAATAATTTAAAGATCCTATATATTGATTTTAGTTTTTGATATTATTTAATTATAATATAATAAAGTTTTAATTTTAGTCAAAAAAATTTACAGAGCCTAATTTTTTTTAATAAACTTTTTATATAATGTTAGATAATCTTTTAATTGTATCAAATTGTGATCAATAATAATTTGTATTTGCCTATTTTTTTTTATTTGTTCTATATTTTTTATATATTCTATTTATTCTGTTTATTCTATTTTATCTGTAATTTTTTAATGTTTATAAATTATTTTATTTCTTTTAATTATTTTTATAATTTATTTATTTTATTATTTTATTATATTTAAGTATATTTTTATTAAAATATATATTTATATTTAATTAATTTATAATGTAACAAGTAGTTAGTTACAGCAAATTAATTTTATATAAATAAAATAACTTTTTGCTCAAATTGTAAATTAACTTAAAATTTTATTTGTAAGTTTTATATGAATTTCAAATTATTAATAAAGGAATTAATTTAAATCTATACAAATTATTTTATTCTTTAATATTATTTCTTATTTAAAATTTGTTATATTATTTTATACTAACTTGCTTTTGAATTTGTTATTATGAAGTTAATTAATTAAATCTTAAATTTAAGATTAAAGATGATGCTATAACTAATTGCAACTATGTGATGCTTATTTATTATTGATTACAATTAGTTATAACTTAATTTTTATTAATATTACAATTAATTGTAACTTTATAATACTTATTTATTACCAGTTACAACTATTTGCAATTCCATTTTTATTTAAGACATGATAAATTACTGAATTAATTTAAGTATAACAAATACCTATAGAACTTAGAGAATATTCTAAGATTGTAAACTTTGATGAGTAGAATTGATTTTTACAATCTTTTGACTTAAATATTAAGATAACTAAAAATGAATCCAATAATATTAATATATCAAATATGCTAGTTATGCTAGAAATACTAAGTATATCAGATTTGTAGATCATCTGTATTATATATATTAAATATATTTATTATATTAATAATGTTAACTATATTAATTATTATGTGTATGTATGTATATATAATATAAATATTTATATTGTATTATATAAATCAGTCATATTATAATAGACTAATAAGTGATTAACAAAAAAAGTAATAAAAAGAACATTAAAGTAAGCTAATATCCTATCACAATATAATCTATATAGGTATATTGCATTTTAAATTATTAATATGTATTTAAGAAAACTATAGCAATCAGATACACTAATATAATTATAAAAATCTTTAAAGTAGTGGAACTAGTAGTATATTATAATCTGATTAACTAATATATATCTAAGTAAACTATAATATTCTGATACATTATAATCTGATTGATTAATTTATATCTAAAGTGATTATAATATTCTGATATATTATAATTTAATCAAATTATATATCCAAATAGATTATAATGATCTGATCCATTATATTATATAAATATATTAATATGCTAATTAATTAATTTGATGTATTTCTAATATTAAATATAAAATTTTTTAATTAATATTAAGAAAATTAGCATTTTCTCTTTTATTAAATATTAAAGAAACCTTTATTTGATCTAAATTAAACTTCATCTAATTTCCTAATTTTACTTTAATATGTAAAATTTAAGAATAATAAATAGGATTTTAATAATTTCTGTTTTAAAAATATTTAATTGCAATAATATAATGATTATATAATAAATAATGAATAATATTAATAATTTTTCAATATTTTATTTGTATCTAAAAATACATTTTAGTAATGATGATTATGTCGTTTTAAATCGTTAAAAATCGTTTTAGATTTAACGAAAGTTGAAAGAATAATGACTTTAAAATCTGATAGTATAATATTACCTATTTAGTTAAACAAAATAACGGGACCTATGTTATTGTTTCCCGAATAGGAAGGAAATAAAAGATAATAAATAAAATTTTAATGATTGTTTCCTTAATTGGAAGTAAACGGAATAAATCTGGCAACATTAAATTTAGTCGGCTTGGTAAAATAAATATCCTATTTCAGGATCATCAAGAGACCCTAGTTTTAAAAAGAATGTGAACCCCGTGGTCACGTGATTAAACCTTCCCGATAAGTAAGCCATGGTTATACGAAAACTCTTTGGCAGTACATCAAAAGTTCGAAGATTCGGCTGAAAGTTGTTTTCGTGTTACTTCTCGCAGTTAACTTTTAACAATCAAACAATATGAAAAATTTTGATCGACAAATTAAGCAAACAATATTCAAGGAATTCGTAAAGAAATTTTTTTATTATAAATAAAACAAAATATTCATCTCGTTTGAATTTTAACTATCTCTATCCTCAACAACATAAAGTTACTTTCTTTTCATTTGCGCAGGAACGCAAAAAAAAAAAAAATAAAAAAAAATGTATAAAATGATTAAAACCCCATCCATAGCTTCTTCGGTTCAGTCCCCACCATTATTTACCAGAATCCTAAAAAGTCTATTTATCTCGCCAAATAATAATGAGATTAAAAATAATATAAACCAACATAAATATAAGTTATATTTAGTCGAAAAAAATCATCCCAATGCAAAGAATTTAGTATTATGCAGATTCATTTGTGCGGTATTTGATCGACTACTCAAGAGCAATGACATTACCTGTAATGAGGGGATTAAATTGGGGGTTGATGATATACTTGATTTGTTACAAAAAGAGTCTAAAACCTACGATAGCGATGAACAAGAGGAATTTGCTGTCTGGGAAGTTTTGAACTCCAGCTTGTTACAGCTTAGGCGTGAATTATGGAAAGATGGAAAGTTCGTGTAACCATAGATCCAAGCTTGGTCTTTACCGAATTTACTTTCGCTCTTTAAAAAATGATAATTGGCGTTGATTAAACGAAGAGGGAAATTCCCGAGCACTTTTAAAATCAATCTATCCTATATTATATAACATATCTTTTATCTAAAAATCTAAATATTGTATAAATAGGTAGCACAAAAAAATAAAGTTTAATCATCTATTTTATTAAATTTATTGATCGTGACAAATATAAATGTATTAAATCTTTTAAATAAAATAACACAATTCCAATTATTCAAGAAGTTTTTCCGACATTTAGGGCCGAATAAATTCCTTGATGAAGTATAATTTTCCAAAATTTTGTGTGTTTCTTTACTAACATTCAAAAGAATGAGTCGATTTTCTTTTATATCTTAATTCAATTGAACTATACTCGAAATACACGATCCTTTTGTGCAATAAATTGAGCGGTTAATGAACCATTTTTATTATAGATTGATAGATAAGTATTTATCACAACAATCCAATTCAAATACTTATATACTATTGTTGTGTGTGGAAAATATATTCGAATGCACATTTGCCACAGCAAAGTCGAAAAGGAAAAAAATAAATAATTTCTATAATGTAAGCTTGCATATTTTCATCCGCCACATGTACCTTTTGCATTCGTGTGTATATATATATAAATCATATTAAACGCCAAAATTTCACAATAAAATAATTACTTTTATTTTTATTAGTATAAATTTACTCATTGGAATGATGTGAAACAAGGGTACTAACAATTAAAGTATCGTATTAATTGTTTTCGTTTCACGGGTCTTTGACCGTGTGACTATACGAAGTTCCATTTTCAACGATAGAAAACCCCAAATTTTATCAAAAAAAAAAAGGGTTCTCTTTAAAGATTCCTTTTCTTTCTATTTTCTTGACAAATTCAGGTTTATCACAACAATCTTCCTGCCGCGCGTCAATCCGGAAAAACCAACAGAACCAATTTCATTTGACTTTTTTTTTTATTGTAACCATCATTTTATCCATTTTGAGCAACAAAAACTTTTCTGCGCCTTATATTAATGTTATAAAAATGTTGTTGGTTCATTTTTTTTAGGTTGGTTTTTTCGTCAAAATTTTATTTTTTCTTCAGAATAAACCCTAATAAGGATATGAGTGGGTCAACTTTTTTGAAAAAATTTATTTATAAATCAACCTCCTCTCATTTGTTTCCATCTTCTTCATTTCCTTCAACGAATTTCTATCGATTCAATTCATTTCCTCAAACACCGACAACAACATCTCAATCTTCTTTAATGAACTCACAAGTTGACCCACAACGACCGAACAAAATGACCATTTTACCATCCGAAATATTCGTTGAAATTTGTCGATTTCTTTCCCCGTGGGAATTAGATGCTGTTTCATTCGTTTGCCGTAAATTCCGTGTATTGTTAACTTGTCCCAGTTCCCTCACGACCATGCATATATGGCGTACGTCCAGGAAAAGTACGATATTCTTTCCACAGCTATCCCTACCCGAAGGTATAAACGAAAGGGATTATTGTTTAATCTCCATGTTGGAAAGGGGTTGTCAATTTTGCTCGGAAAAATTTGATTACGTAAGAATCTATTGGATTTTTCGCGTTCGGTCCTGCTGGGCCTGTTTGATGATTCGAACTAAGCGTATATCACAGTAAGATAATCTAATTTACTTAGTATTATGTCTCTTTAACAATGTATATGTGTAACTGATTATGTTTTTGTTGTCGTTGTAGGAGGGAATCAGTCCCCGATTTCGCGGCTGGATTGCCATTTGTAACCATTCGAGAAGAAGGAATGTTTGGATATGAATGTAAGGCATTTTGGAAGTCTGACTTCGAGTTGGCTGAAGTTGAATTTTCGAATATAAAAAAATCGGAACGGATGAAGTGGATCGAGGAGAAGCGAACCAATCGCGAACATCTATTAACGGACGCCTTAGAACGTGATAATTCTGAAAAGAAATCCCGAGAGATATCCAACCTTGCGAAAGTTGAGAAAGTCAGATCATTTGGTTTTAAATTGATGCAGGATGTTTGTTGTAATTTTAATAAAATACGGTTATGTCCCACATTTAATGAAACGATCGCTCTTCCAAACCATTTATTTGGAAAGGTTACATTTCAAACGTGGCGAGATAAAATAATTAAAGAATACCACGAGAACGAAAAAGAGTATTCAATTCGTGTGAGATATAACCAAATCAACGAAAGACTATTTCATACGCTCGGATCATTAATCGCTTGGAAAGAACATTGCGCGACATATAAGTCGCCACCTTACGTTGACCATGATCCAAGAAAACCATGGAGTGAAGAATTTTTAGACAATATAATCGTACCAAGGATATTAACGGAAGCAATTCAATGTGAAAAAAAAGCGAGATGTGCAAAGAAAGCATTGCAATCAGTCGAAAGTTTAATTTTCGAAAATGATAAATCTGCCATTTTATTTGGGTTAGGAGGAGAGAACATAGAATTAAGTAATAGTAATAATAATAAAGGATTAGAGATTTTTAGGTGTAAAATATGCGAGAAAAATTCCAATCATTTATTATATTTTTATCATAACATTAAAAAACATTTAACTAATCGACATAATATTAATGATTTAGAATATATCGAATTAGATTATAATATAATGCACAAACATTTCGTGAATTTTTCTAGTAATTGGTTTAAAACGGGTGTTTATCCGTATAATTTATCGGATGAATATATGAAAATTTTAAAAGATCATCATATGCCCTGGTGGGAGGTTCGAACAATTTAAAAAAATTATTTTTAAGTTAACTGTATAATATAATACTAATATGATATGAAGATTAATATGTTTTTGGAGGAAATAAGAAATAAAAAATAATTATGAATATTTACTTTTCTGATGTTTTGAATTTGAACAAAACGCGTTATTGCGACGTGATTGATGAACATAATTTGATTATACTTTTAAAAAACGCAGCGTTCTGAAACAAATTTGACCTGCGGAATCATGTGACTTTATACCGGTAATTTGTCACCTATTTGACACATTTTATTTGTCACCGATTTTGGGCATGTTAATGCAAGTTCCCATTTTTTAGGGCGAAGCTATTTTGTGAAAATATATTCTTTTCATGTGATTATCATAATGATATCGAAAAACTGGTACCAGATATATCATAATAACAACAACTAGGATCACAAAAAAATTTAGCGTGAGAAATATTAACCATTTTTATTATAAAAAATTATAAAAAGTTTTATTTTATTTTATATTTTTATCATCCAATCAAATTTTTATACACTGCGAATGGATTCGAGAAAAATAGTTTACGCTTAATTCTAAATGCCTTCATGAATGAGTATTTGATGAAATTAATGTTAATTAAATGTTCCTATAATAAATAAACCTAAAGTAAAATTATGAGACTATATGATGTTTACATGAAATTTTAAAAAGAATGCAAAGTATGAAAAAATTTTAATCTACGTGTTTGAAATAAAATATTCTGATTTTTTTTTTAATTATAACTTTGCTATACAAAATTTTTCTATATAATTCACGGTCAGTTTTTTGTTCGAAGAAATTTATAAACGGTTTCTTTCATTTTGCCCAAATCCGTCAAGATGTTTTCGATTAATCTTTTCTGATCTTTTAATTTGGTTTCTCGACACATATATAATAATTTTGGATGTGAATAAAACATATCGGAAATTCGACCTTCTGGATGTCCCGTTCCTTTTTCCCAGTATTCTAAATCCGTTAAACATATTTTTATCAGTACATAAAGTGTTGCCCAATGATAAGGTTTAGTGATTTGCTTATGTGTTGAATTATCATCAAAAGATTTATGAATTGGGGAGAAGGTTACGGTATGGGAAGATTTGGGATGTGAAGCTGTTGGAGTGTGAGGTGTGGTCGGTGATATGGGAGATCTTGGAGTCGTTGGTGTAAGACTGGGCGTCCTGGTGGCTCTAAAAGAATTCGATGACAAAGAAGTTGTTCTTTTTGGTATTGAGGTTATAATTGAAAATTGTTGACTTATTGAATGTATTAAATCGTTTAAATGAATTTGTATTTCTTTGGCTGGACGATCACAAATCAAACTCGAAGAAAGTTTTATTGCTTTTCCTAGTGGAGGAAAATTTGAAAATGAATCACGACTTTCATATGATGACATTGTAGGGTTTTTTTTTTTTTTGTTTTTTTTTAATAAAAAATTTGACAAAATGTTTTGAAGTAATTTTTTTTTAAAAAAAAAACGGGTTATTGGTTTACTTGGTTTACTTATATTAAGAATTTTTCCACCAAAAAAATTCCCAAACAATCGAGTGACACTTAATATAAATTCTTTCAATGTAAATAACAACGTTATTCATCGATTATTGTCATTTAAACAATAATTGATTTTTAATGGATTATACTTTTTAATTAGAAAGTGCTTCTGATTGGTGCTTCAAGATCTACTAAAACTGCCATATGAATGATGTAATCCGGCCGAACATTTCCGGATTTATTTGGTAAACAAATTATTTAAGAAAAATCAAGAGTTGATTGTGTGAATTTAGCTCATAAGGGATCATTTCTTTTTATTAATAAACTTCATAATAAAAAAAAAAAACTTTTTTTTTAAATAAAAAACATTATTGTCTAGACCTGATGTCAGCCACATGGTAATCGAATTTTACCCCAAAATACGTAATCATTACAAAATTCTATTGGGTATATCATATGACGAATAGAAAATCTTATTCATATATGGATATGAAATATATATTTATTAGCTTAAATTGTTTTTTTGTTATTCTTTCTAACAAATTTTTTTTTATAATTTTATTTTTTTATTTTTTTATTATAAAAAAAATAATTTTTATAAATTTATAATTAAATACTTTTATAATATAATATAATATCATTAATTTATTATAAACTTAATAAATTTATATTTAAATTTCATAAAATATATATAATTATTTTTAAGTTAATAATATAATTTTTATCAAATTTTAATATTAAATTATATTTAATAGATAATTTTTAATTTATTAAAATTAATTTTAATTAACAAGTAAAATTATAAACAAGTATGATTTATTATAATATTATAAGAAAATTTTATATAAAAGTTTGATTAATTTTTTTTTTATATTTAAAACTTATAAAAAATATTCTAAATTGCTAAAACTTTTAATTTTTTTTAGCAAAAAGTAAGATGATTTATATAAAATTAGTTAAACTAATTAAATAAATATATATATTATAATAAAAATTTAAAAATATAAATAATATAAATAATATAAATAATAAAAAATTAAAAGAATTAATAAAACAGGTTATATAAAATTTATAGAAAAAATAAAAATAGAAAACTGTATAGATCATTAAAATCTGATGTAATAACCTAATTTTTCTAATACAATATATTAAAGATTATTGCTAAGTTTAAAATAATCTTAAAAAAATTCTAGATTTTTATGTAATTACAAATGTCAATTAGCATTATCTTAATATTGAATAGGTAGATAACCAAATGTTTATTATCTTGTATATATATATATAATTTTTTACCTTATTTTAGATAATAAAATTAAATCAAATTTCTTACTTTTTATTTATATTTTTAAAGAAATTTATTTTTATAAAACTTTATTTATTTTTATATATAAAAATCTTAAAAAATTAAGATAACTTAGCAAGTTATATTAAATATTATTAAAAAATACAATTAATATATATTTATTTATATCTTTAATTTTATTTTTAATGATAATAGCATACCTTTAATTTTAATTTAAAAAAAAAATAATTATTTAAATAAATTTATTTTGTATTTAATAATCTTTAATATATATAGAAGATATTTTTTTTTGATAACTATACTTTTAATCAATATTATTATAAAACATATTTAGGATTTAAATAGGGTGTTAATAGTATAAATAGGATATTTAAAATATAATATAAAATATATTAGAATATAACTGGAATATTTAGCTAAAATAAAAATTTTTAGAATATTAAAATATATTATTATTTTTAATACCTTAATCTTATTTAAGAAAATTAACTATATATAAGTTTGTTTTAGTTAATATTACTCTTTTTTTTTTAAAATTAATAGTAAATACAAATAATATATATTTTTATTTCTTTAAGTTAGAAGATTATAAGAAGCTTAAATAATTTTTATTATTTTTTTTTTTACTTTTTTGTCTCTTTAATGGTATTGTAAATTTGTATGCAATTTTATTTAATAAATAAAATTATTTTTGATTATTTTAAATATTTAAGTTTTTAAAATTTATATATCTTATTATCCATTAATCTCAAATATATAAAATATTACGATTTAATAAATCTTAATATGATGAATCCAATAAACAAAATTTTATATTTTTATGATTAATAGAAAATAAATTATTTTTAAAAAATTAAAAAATTAAAAAATTAATATATATTGATAATTATTAATTTTAAATTTAAAAATATTACTAATAGATACACTAAATATGATAAACCTATTAAACTTTATTTATTTTTTTTATAATCACTGATATTAAAGTATTATAAGTTTTTAAAATATTTTATATTTACCATTTATGAGATAATACCTTTTTTATTGATTACTTAATTTAGAAAATTTAATAATAAATTATGCTAATTATCTTTTTTAATAATAATTTATCCTAAATAATAATTATATAATTTTATATAATTTTCTTTTTCATATTTATACTTTAATGCTAATTAATTTTAATAATATTAAAATTAATTATGTTAATTTTATATTATTATAAATAATTATATCTATTAATATATAATTTAATTAGTAATTTGTTAATTTATGTTAAAGTATATTCTAATATTTTATAAATGAATATAAAGTTATTTATAAAAATAGTGTCTTTGAAATTGCTTATATAAATTTATTTTAATTAATCCTTTGATTTTATTAATTGTACTAAAGATTTGATATAATTTTATTTTTTTATATTTTTAATAAAATTATAAAAAATTTTTTAAATATTTAGATAATATAAATTTAATTTAGCAATTTTAAATATTTTATTATTATAATCTTAAAATAATACTAAAGAAATATTACATAATAAATATCACTGTTTATATATTTTGCTTAGATATTATTTTTTTTATAATTTTTATAATTTTTTTACTAATATTTTCAAATGATGTTTTATATTTTTAATCTATTAATTTTATGAAATTAAATTATATATATATAGTTTTATAAATAATAATAGAAGATTCTAAAAGGATATCATCAATTAATAAAAAGATTTTTGTAATTTTATATAGATATATAATTAGTTATTTTTTGTAGTTTTCACTTTTTTTCAACTTTCTTTTTTTTTTCTTTTTTTCTTATGTTTAGATATTACTTTTTAATTATGTTATAAGTTTTTAGTTTTAGTTTAAGATTCTTAATTTTTTTTTTATAAATTTTTTTATTCTTTTATTGAAGTTATTAAAAAATAACATTAAGTAGTAAATAAAAAATACTACTAATATTATATTTAAATAGATTAAATATATTATAAAAGGTTTTATTATTTATATATATTTAAATTAATATTTTTGTATAACTATTATTAATAAAATAATTCATTAGAATTATTATAAAAAAATAAATCTAAAAATTTATCTAAAAAAAAAAAAAACTCAGTTATTTTTTTTTTATATCAAAAAATTTAAAAACTTTTGATTTTAAATTAATATAAAAATTTAAAATCAATATAAGTTTACATCAAAAAATAGATTTTATTTTTAATAAATAATTTTTAATAGATTTTAATTAAAAAATAAAATTAAAGACAAATGTAATAATAAGCATCATAAATATTTATTATTATATTTAATTGATGTAAGAGTAATATTATTAAATAAAAATTTAATTTGTAATTATCTATGATGTTGTCTATATTTTAACTTTTACTGATAAAAAAAAATACTTAATATAATTATATAAATATAGAACAAAAATTTGGTTTGGTAAAGGAATAGATAAAAGTAATATAGAATTTCTAATTATTTGTCAATAATGGTTTTTGTAATAAAGTAAGATGTTTGTCATCTTTATCAGCGAAACTGACTAGAAGATGTCATATTTCTGGTTGTAAAACAGATGATTAGCTGATCAATTAAATAAACCCACTATATAATCAATTGCGGAAGTTAAGATTCTTTTAAATATGAATAAATTTTAACTTATGCCAACCAGATTCCAACATTTCAAATCGATTTTTCTTTAACTAATATTGCGATGCTTAAAAATCTCAATTTGATGTTTCAATTAACTGATATCTTTGTGCATCAGTCTTTTTTTGATAACCAAATAATATATAATGTGTTCCATCAAGACTAAATCAGTTGTAATAATGCAGCAAATCCTTGACAAAACGTTCAAATAGGATACGGTCGCAAATTTGTAATCAAACTGGACAAATTCTATGTTAAAACCTGGAAGAATGCAAGTTCATCATGTACTCACAAAATATGGGTTAACATGGAAACTTAAGGCTATGATAAAAGATAAATCAGAATTTTATTAGAAAGAAATTATAATGTTAAATCGAGAATAGTAAGAATGCTTTGCAATAACTACAGTAGTACAAGAAGTATATTTAGTTGATTGACTCCGCCTTTTCTTCTTTGTCAAGCTGATAAGATTCTTGAGCAAGACTTGGTAGTGTTCGCATCTTAAGATTCAAGAGCTCGAGTCCTGTAGCAACGAAATTAAAAAATATCTTGATGACTATTAGTATAACCCATTACGTTTTATTCTTAAATTCATTTCAAATTCATATAAAGTAATTACGTGAATCGGATTATATAATATGTCAATAATTCCCTATGCAAAAATCTCTCGTTTCTAACGTTAATTAGTATCGCTTGTTTAATGAAAGAAAATGAAAATAAGAAAATCAACTGTTCAATGAATTAATTCATCGCCTCTACTGAGCCTTCTCTTGTTTAAATTTATCATAAAATCAATAACTTTAGTAGAATGTACCTCGGATATATATATGTGAATATTAGTTACACAACTTTTAGATGATCGACTGTAGTTGAGTACTTTTCCTTATTTAGGATTAACTATATGAAATTGGAAAAAGAACATCTCGTTCTCATGTTGTACATGAAGGTACAAAAACAGTACTTATAAATGTCGTGTTATATTTATTAATTTAGCAAAACACGTTCATGAAATAGAAGTCAATTTTAAGTATGATCTACATCTGTTTTCAGACCTTATATTTTCTTTTCATAATTTTCATAATTTTCAACTATTTTATCTGAAGAAGTAGGTAACCAAGCCCAGAAGAGTATGCTATATTCGTAAAGTTCAAGTATGAAAGTATGTACGAACATTATACTCCACAACATATCTAAACCTTTAAAATAAAATAACAAATTTTGAAATTTTACAAATTTACGCAAATTTTCGGATAGAATTAAGCATTTTAACTTAATTAAAACATCAACGTTAGTTACCAAAAAGAAATCTTAAGGATGGAGGTAAGATATTTAATAATTTGGATGAAAGTTTGATAGTCACAATATATTTAGAATACTGTGACTAACTTGTGATATTCTTATTTCCAGTTTACCCAATAGACGATTGAATTTATAAAAATTTTTATGAATATGAAGACATTGTTGGAATGTGTTAATAGACATAGAATTTAACAAATGAGATTCCGACAATAATTATTCTTTTTTCATGAAGATTTAAGGATCATTAATGATTGGCTCTGGTTAAACCGAGTTCACGATATACAATTCAGTCTTATGGATTATAAGGAGTTCACAACATTGATTTCTTCTACAGAAAGGTGATTTCCTGGAAGAAGATTAATTATAGTTTCTTCACCTAAGAGAAAATCATTGGAAAAAGGCTATAAATGAAAAAAAACCTTGTTGATTTATTGAGGACGTCCAATTATCGGTGCAGAATATTACTGATTATGTAACATTGTTTAGTAGATTTATTAAAAAATAGAATGGGGAGATCGACCATGGAAAAAAATGGAATTTTGGACGAGCTTGTTGACTGGCACATCTTTGGCACCATTACGTCACGCCATCAAAAGTGCAGTGACATCACGATGATTCGTTTATCGGGGTAACGAATTAAATTCACATACCTATCTGATTTTTGAGGAATGAAATAGAAACTGTTGAATCTCCACTGCGCCACCTTAATTTTGAATGAAGGTTTTTGGTGGAAATATCATTGGATATATTGCCGTGAGTTTTTACTTTAAGATATTTGACCTCTTGTTGATCTTTTTTTCAATTCCTTTTCGATGTTATCACACTTACGCTCAAACACATTATTCCTTATTCAGCATAGCCATTTTATTTTATTTGGCATGTTGAATTTATAATATATTTGATTCTATAATCGACAAATGCAGATATTATTGAATTATACGACTTTTTTAAGCAAGCTTGTTCAAATATTAGAATGGCATGAACTTTACTTGTTTAATAACATCATTATTTGTCTGCTAACTATCACGATCGTATCTAGATATATAATAATGGTACGTTTGGTTTGAATTTTAAAAATCTACTTCAATTATTAATTGGTATTTAACTAATTTTGCTTTGACTTAATCATCTAAAAATATTCAGAAAATTTATATCAAGGATTGTGTGAAAAGTGAGTATATCGCTCTCTCACTTCGTATCTAGAAATCTTTGTGTATAGTGAAAGTTATTTTGTGGTCAATATATACCTTGAGATGTATTGATTGATCATCGTTGATGCCGAAATTTTCGGTAAATTTGGATCTTTGAAAAATTAGCATAGTTTCCTTACATATATTTGATCACAATTCTTTTCATTTCATGGTTACTTCAATCAATAATAATCGTTTATTAGCATTATCTGCTTCGATTTTGCAATAAGAATATTAAATTTCTTTTTCAATCATATAGAATCAGGAATCTTTTTCTTTCTTCTACCTTTGCCCCGGAGGTTGCCAAAATTCACCAAAAAATTAAATGAAAATCAATGGTTTTGTCGTTTGGTATCGAACGGAATTTTCAACAAATGATGCCAATCCGTTTATTATACCGATCAGCATTTAGTGTGTGAATATCTTTTCTTTTTTTTTTAAAAAAAAAAATTATTTTACTTTATATGGTCAGATTTTATTTAAATTATTATTCACATTAAATTTGTATAGCTTGGACGGATGTTCTGAAGGAACTAGTAAGTGTTAAATCCATATTAGAATAGTCACATAGGGATTATTTTACCAGATGAATTGTCAACCCTTTTTCTTATAATCTTGTATATTTAGAGGTAAGGCAGGAAAAAAACCTAAATATAATTTGTTATTTTTATGTATTTTTAAAGGCCAAAATGTCTCCCATTATATCTTCAAGATCTTTACTAGTAATGATACGGACCGAAATTTCATTTTGTTAATTAGGTGTCTTTCAAAAATTACAAATCAATTTCAATTTTTTTAATTACCAATTATTAAGCCTTTTTTAATCTTGATCAATATTACTTTAATTGATATATAAAATAACACCATCATTACAGTAAAAACAGACGTTAAAATATAGAAATTTTACTATTATATAAAAAACCCTTAATTTAATAATAATCTACTTTAGAATTAAGAGATGAATATAATTAAAAGCCTGAGGATTATATGATTATAGAAATCCGAGATTTTATTATTAAAGAAATTTAATCATGATTTAATTTATTTCCCAAGTAACGTATCACGTGAAACAAATTTCTTTAAACTGTGACATGATAATTATTGTTTATAGGTTTCTATTTTGCTTTTATTTGCTTTTGAAGTGATCACTCTTATGAATTCTTATAAGGAAGTAAAAAAAAAAAAAATTGAATGAACAAACTTTAAAGTATGTAGCATAGGAATTTTAGCATATTATAAAAAAAGATTGTAGGTTAACCCGTATAAATCAGTGTATAATTGCGTTAAAACATAATTCGCTAAGAATGAATAAGAAAGAAAGTTGTTCAATAGCTCTATTACATCTAATCAAAATGGTAGCTTGTTAAATTATCGAAACAAGCTATGAAAGAAAAGAAAATATACTGTATACGTATATATACCTTTTATTTTATACACTGATATTTACCCACCCAAAGTTATCCATGATTTAATGTACCCCCGAATAAAAGGAATTTAATAAGGAACCCGCCTTATTGATTCCAGTTTGGTTGATTCTCAAGAAAAGAAAGAAAATCTTCTGGAAGAGGAGAGTTTGAATAAGTATTTAAAATCGATTCGAGTGAGATGTTTTCTTGGGGTTCAACTGGTATGATATTTTCGTACTGTGATAAATAATAATAATTATTAGTATTAGTCGGAGGAACAGGAGGGGCGGGAAGTGGTGAGGTCGTGGTAGTATTTGGTAACAAAGAAGGTGCCGTATAGTTGATAAATGCTAGTGGTTTGTCGTTTTCTGGGGGGTATTTATTGTTAATAGCATTATAAACTTTGTTGAGATTGGTATCATCATTAATATCAATACTGGAGAGTGACACAGACGATAGTGCCAGACTATCGGGTTTTTCGTTGACATTCCAAGTGAACATATGTTCCTTTAACAATTCTTTTGATTCATCTCTTTTAGGTTTCTTGGATGGTTTCTCTTGTTTTGATTTAATTTTTCTATTTCTTTTTATAGTATCGGACGAATCCTTTCTGATTGGAGTATATTTATAATCAGGGTATTTGATTTTATGCCGTTGAAGATACATATCTGCCAAAATCTGAAAAAAGGATCTCACGGTTGAGGATTCGCCTTTCCAAGTTATTGAGGCCAATTTTGATATTAAACGTATGGAAACCCTTTCTGGATGATAAATATTCTTGACCCTTTCTGCAAAGTCTGTACGAAATATTATAAATGCATTATGTGGTCTTGGAACTGCGTTGTCACAAGGTTTATCTTTGGCCCGATTTGATTTGTCACTCTCAACAGCAACGATCTTAGCACCTTTCTTATTGACTTTATTTTTGTTTCTGCTCGTTGTTATTTTTTTTTCTTTAGGTGTAATCAATTCGTTAATTGACAATGAAAGTGTATAAGGAGGGTTTGTTAATAATGGATGTAATTCTTGTTCTTGTGTAGAAATTGACGAATCAAATTCATTGTGAAATATTAAATGTGTCATTTTTACTAAAAACGAGAATTGTAAATAAAAAAAGCAAATTAAGGCAAAATGAAGCAAAAATTTAATGTTATTATTATTATTAAAAGGAGGAGAGATTTAATGAGTTTGGGTAAAAAAACGGGTTAAAAGGAATAAAAATATCTTTATCTTTTTTTTTTTTTTATTCTTAAATTAGTATTTATTTATTTTTTTTTTAAATTGATAAATTTTTTTTTTTTTTTTTTTTTTTAATGATTTATGATTTAAAGGCAGTATTTTATAATCAAAAAAAAAATAACAAGTCACCTAAGGGACTAATATCATCAATAACCGAAATGGTAATTTTTTCGGAGTGTCAAGTTTTTGATATTACTAATTCTTTATCGACAAAGTTGGATTTAATGTAAGATTTTCTGAGATACAACATATTATTTATACGCGTTTTATAAAGATGGCGTATAATCTTATACTAAAATGTTAGCCTGTGAGACCGTTTCCCTAAATATTTTTTTTTTTTTTTTTTTTTTTTTTTTCTAATAAAAGCTTAAAAACAAAGAAATGTGAGGAATTCATTGGAGAAGAAAAGGGTCGTAATCTAAATGAATATAAAAAAAAAAAGATATGGCACAATATATTCACACGTAAAAAGCACAATATCATACACTAAAGTTTTAAAACAATAAAAGAGTTACGAATCTTGCCTTTGTTTTCATGAAAGTTCTAGATGAAATAAATCGATTGGTCCCTTTGTTACAAGATGATGCGACTAATAATTGATAAATAAAGGATTCAGAAGATTGTACAAGAAAAAATTATCATTAACTAAAATGTTTAATACAAACCTAATTTGTTAGATAGATAATAAATACTCATAGTTCTATACTCCTCGAATTTGGTAAAGCCTTCCCGAAAGTGCGACACATGAAGATAACAATTATGTTCTTGTAGCACATAATATTACTGATTTCATGATTTAAAAGTTTTTAATTTACACTTATATGTAACTAGCACAATCAGTTTCCTTATTGTTTATTTAAAAACCATAAAAAAAAAAAAGATATGCAGAGGGATTGAAGAGTATTCCGAATCATTCCTTTATTTGAATCAATGACACATTTCTTTATCGTTAAATAAAAAGTTAACCAAGTATTTCTTGAATCAAAAAGAGCAAGAACGGCTTCAATTAAACTTTTTTGAGTTTAGGGTCCCCAATAAAATTTTTTATTTCCATAATTGATATTTTTTTTCCCCATGATCTGACCTTTTTTGAAGAGTTTAAAATACAATATTTATATAAAAAGTTTTGTGATATGTTTAAATACGTTTCTAAATATTAGCGCCACCGAGTGTTAACCATATTTGAATATATATATATATATAAAGAATATATATAATATAAATATCTTATTTCGCGTCCTTTTCGCAATGATGAACATATTCCTGGTCCCTCTTATTGGCTACATGTGGTGATACAGAGCCAATAATTGTGCCCATATAAGGAAACTTTTTCGGAAGGTCAAGATACTTTAGGTAAACCGGCCCTTGTCGTCCATTGGTATGATAAATTTTATTAATTTAATTTAAGTAATATACCAATAATTTAAATAATTTAGCATTTGATTCTTTATAAAAAGAAAAAAGAAATTTTGAAACGATTACTTTACAAACGAAATAACGATGATCGTCCTTCGGCTGCTGGATTCTTGGGTCTCGGGATTTAGAACTCGGTCCAATTCGGGACTCATAATAGGAATTCCGGTTACGATATGTAAAAAAAAGATTAAACGTTAATTTGTACGACGTACTTGTTGAACAAAAATATTCTTTCCCGGTAAATCATCATCAGTAACCATTCAAATATGAGTGGTCATATGACCGTATTTTTTTTTTTTTATCCCATTGTGTCTTAATCCTATCACAATGCGATGATTCGGGATTTTAGTATTGTCAATAAGCGATTTACCTTCCCAAAAGTCGTAAATGTTTTGGTTCTGAGAATTCTAAAAAATTCGAATAAGGTTTTTTTTTTTTTTTTTTAGAAAAAAAAAAACCTGTTTGTTTTTTGTTGTTGTTTTGTTGGTGCTTTTTTTGTGGTTTTTGTTATCTTTCTCCCATTTATTTTTTTTTTTTTCATTGCACAGAGTTGTTGCATAATTTTAAGAGTTGAATGAGCAAAAAAGGCAAGCCATTGCAGAGTTTTAAAATGGGAAGTCGGCAGCCGGCAAAATTCGGTAAAAGAAGAAAAAAAACCAGGATATCAGAATATAGTAACTCTATACTCGGTTTTACTACTATTGTGTTAACACGTGACGTGACACAAACGTATTTGTGCAATATTTTGAATATAACAAGTTAAGTCGGACCATCCTTACGGTAGTAATATTAATGATAAATAATCATAATCATACAGTAAAATAATAATAATATTAATAATAATAAAAAGGAAATGCGACCCCGTAAATAATTACACACCAATTACAAATAATTGTAATACAAATTATACTTGTACAAGGATAACTCGACAATGATCCAACTACCGTAACATGTAAATAAATTAATTGACGCGTATACCTCAATTAGTCGAACAAAATGCTTCACATAAAAGATGTAACAACATTATTGGTTTCACGATTAGTAAACTTTGCTTTACTGAAAAACGAGTGATTGGCTAGAGATGGTTAAATTTGGTGCAAGCGGTGCGGTGGAATCAAATGTCCGAGCGTGAAAATTAACAAAGGATCTCAATGTTTTGAACCCCTTAACGAAAAAAAGATACCTATTCAAATTGGGCCGCCATTTAGATCAGTGGCGTGATTTGCGATTTACCATTTTCACAAGCTTTTTAAAATCTGTGATACAAAAGTTCATTGTGATTTAAATTCACTCAAATTTTTTATGATCCAGTGTTCCCCCAATCGGACATTTAATTCCTAATTGTTAAATGGTTTGAGAATTTGCTGACAAGGTTGAATTATTGGTTTTTAAAAAGATGCAAGAAATAAATGACTTATTAATTTTATTTACAACAATCAAATGTAACACTGAGAAACTAGGAATCATTACTCCGGAAACGGAAATTTGACCTAAATTGCGGATGGGTTGTTATACATCAATGCTAACGCACTAAAAAAAAAAACATATTATTTCCTGCATGATCTCCAGGCTCCATCAAGCAATGCCCGGAGACAGTTCCCTAGCGTCTCGATCCATTACAGTTTTACAATTCTGACAATTGTACACCTCTTGAACCCTCCATTTTTTTGAAAGTCCTAGATGTATAAACCTCATTTTGGGTCGATCTCATTCTTCTGCTTTGACTGCTAGACGTTGACGAAATCGTTTAATGTGCCCAATCAAGCATTTTTCGGACTGTTTTTCGTGTAATCTTTCTTGTTTTCAATTCACATATCTGACACTTTAAAAGAGAGATATTAATAACATCAAATTCGTGAGTAAAGAATGCAATTGCCTTTCTATGAATTTCATTTTGCAAATGCATAACTTTTTCGCTGCATTCGATTACTCTTTACCTGATATGATTAATCGAGTAAGATCATCCATATGCATGCATAGGCGACCTATTTTTACTCGTTGGAGAGTATCATGTATTTCTTTGTTTTAAAAGATTAGGATAATTTTATTTATCATCAGATGTTATCTTATAAGAAATAGGTCATTTTCGTTTCTTTTCAAAATTTAGAGGTCAAAAACCATTTTTATATATTGAATACATTAAAAGTTAGAAACATAAAAATGGTTCTATATGGATTTTGAAAAAAATTTATAAATAAATTGTAATTATTTATTGTAAGAAATTTCATGGTTAGAATTATTAAGTTTAGGTTATTTGCATTTTGCTTAATAATTTATAGAAATTAATGCTTTATCAATTGCCTCATTATAAGTATCTTATTATACATATCTTAAAGTAATATACTAAAACATGTAAAAATTTATATAAGTTTTTTATCTTTATATTTACTAAAATCTTTTCTTCTTAAATATTTATTAATTTTAATTAATATTTAAATAATATTTTATATAGAATTAATATATTCAGCTAGTAAAATATCTATTTAACAAAGAATAACTTAAATTTGATACTATTATTTCTGAAAATATTGATTTTTTTCAAATAATTATATTATTAAATTAATTTCAATAATAATAATTATTAGTATTAGTCGGAGGAACAGGAGGGGCGGGAAGTGGTGAGGTCGTGGTAGTATTTGGTAAC